AAGTGATTGTCAAGTAGTGGAAGAGAGATCAAATGAGAGTAATGCAGAAGAGTGGGAAGTCAGTAAACAAGAGATAACAGTTTCTCAAAGTAGAGGCCAATGGATTGTATTAATATATGCATATTATTATTATTAATATTCCCTTTGGTTCCGAGTGGAATGTAGGACTTCCACGACACATCTCCACTTTCTTCTATTTTCTGGCGTCCCCTACACCTGGGTACATGATTTGTCATAATTTCTCTTCGCACGATCTACTCCATATCAACCTCGCACAGACAACCCACTTGTCGCTTCCCATTCAGATTCGATTTAAGCAATGGGCTGCATTTTGAGTGATGTCGTTCGAAGGCCTCCTTAACGTATAACCAATCCATCTTCACTTTCTCCTACATATCTGTTCAGCGATTGGCTCTTAGCTGGCTTGTTTCCAACCACAGTTTATTGTTTCTAATTTCTTCTAGCCCGCCATTTGATCTTCAGTGTGGAGCTAGCGAAAGCAGCTGTTGATGCAAGTCCGCCACCCGTTGGAAATGCCTTTCGTTACACACAGTGCAAATTTATGACCTATATGGAAGGACCAATGCTTCTTAGCTGGCTAAGTGACGGAGGTAACTTCTGTTGAGTCTCTCCCCTTGAGGGTGATTGGTGCTGGTTGCTGTTGTTGCGGTTCGTTGATATCCTCATCAACTCTATCTTCTATTTGTTCACCTGAAGTCCTGTCTTCAACGTCCACCTCTTCAGCCAGTTTGTTGCTTTTCGCCTGAAAGTCTCCGAGTTTGTTTGACGTTAGACATATGTCATCCAAATGCATTCTGCATACATTTCAGCATATATACATAGAAATGTGTGTGTGCTTATTCGATTGTATCTAGTAGGTACCAGTGATGAAGAGGGAAACTGTTAAAACTTTGTAAGATACTGGAACTAGTGACAAACATCTAGTCTATGATTCGATTCAAAATCGTGTAGGAACATATTTTTCGTGCGCTTGGCCAGTATTGCGTGTGATCACATTCTCCGAAGACATCGCCTTACTTGCATTCGAACCACCAGTCGTCGATGCGTAGACGTCATCACGCTTTAGTCTGTCAGGAAAACAACATATCCTATTGCATCTACCATATGGCTCATGTTTGTCAAGAACACAAAGGACAATTTGTGCCATGAAAATGTTCTTCTATGTCAGAAGTATCTGACGCACACTCCACTGAACAGACTCAGTCTGATAACAACCACCTGATGACCAGTCTCACATTCCCAACGATGACAACTCACCACAAAATCTCATCTCATCACAAACTCAAATATTATTCACACTCGACCACAATCAGCAGTTGAATGAAATTTGAATTCATGAAGAGTAAGCGGTGTTGCAGGGAAGTGATTTATTCAATTTATCTAATTCAAAGTCGAATATTTATGAAAGCTTCTACAATCTACATGTATTCAATGTCATGACGACGTTGACACTAATCCGTGTACTTCTCTTCAATTTTCTGAATAAGAATAAAATCAGTTAGCAATATTAGTGGATGAAATATATAAGTGGTGAAATAATCAAGAAACGCGTGTGCTGGAGAAGAGAATGACTGTTGGTGAACTGTATGCTAATTTATACAATCCAAGAATTCTGAATATTTTCAGTGAGGGATAACTTTCATCTCCACCATATGAAATGTGTTAACAAAATCAATCGAAATGCGAGTAATCGACTATCAAAGATGCAATGTGCTTGTACCTGTGCGGGTGTATGCGTCTCTGTGTCATATACACATTTCAGAACAATCAAGCTTTGTACATGTATCCAGTGCTCCCAGTACTTACGTTTCCTTATAAAAAGAATCGATACACACCACTATTTATATGCTAATCCGATGATGAAATTATCAAAGTGCTGTAGTCACTTTAATTCATAATGATGACTCTAGGACCCTTATCAGGTTTAGTAATAATTATATTAGAATTTTCCCGTAGCTCTTTCAAGGCTTTGAAATTCTGGGAATTTCAAATACTTTTCTCGTTTGAGTTGTTGTTTAAACACTGGTGAGCTACATCCACCATCTTGGCCTTAAACCAACCCCGACCTTCATCGGATGTTGCGGCAAGAGGTTTGAGTTGGTCATATAAGTTTTCAAACTCAGCATGGATGGTTAAATCCGTAAATTGCGTGCGAGGAACACAAAATTTGAGTCCAAGGGACAAAGCTTCTTTCTGATGAGTGGATAGAGTAATATCAGAAAGATTTGTGACGTGCTTATCAGGATTCACCGGAAAGACATCTACGCGGTTTCAATCATCAATTGAACTCTTCAAGTTAGTTTGTATATTCGTCTTTGTTTTCTGAGTAACGTCTTTAAAAAACTGAACAAATTTCATGTGGCATATTACTGATAATTCAGATAAAATAAGTGGCGCGTCGGTATGAAGAACGAGTAGTTCTTGTAACGTTTGTCTAACATTTTCGATATGTGACTTTGTAAGACGAACAAGATTAGAAGTATTTGGTTGTAATTTACTGAATTTCAAAGTTTTATAAAGTTGCTCAGGGAAGGTGTTACGTTCGACGACAATTTTACACCTGAGGTTGACAAGTTCATTTAATCTTTTGAAAGTGTCTGGAGGGAGCCTTCTCGGTAAAAATTTAAAACAATTAGTTCCCTTTATGAATTTAGATGAAGCAATAAGAAGACGTAATTTGTCTGAATCGTGTAATGTATTTGCGCCCACAACACATTTCGAACAATCTGATCCATCATACACCGACTTGTCATAGCAATGCATATGTATATGTATGCATATTTGTATATATATATATATATATGCAGCTAATATCGTAATAATAGAGAATGTAATGCCATTATATCTATCTAAACCCTTCGAACATGCGAAAAATGACGTCACATCCCACTGTATTTACCAATTTCAATGTACGTGTGGACACACATTTATAGAGATGACTAATCCGTCTCTGCAAGTAAGGGCTTCACAGCATATTCCAAAATGGCTCCAGAAACAAATTTAATCTTCAGAACCTATTAACGGTGAGAACAGGAGACCTAGCTCTTCTATTGCGAAGCATATTATAGAGACAGGACATAAAATTGATGTTAACAGATCTTTTGAACCTTTCTATAAAACGTGTTGGGGGCGTATCCTAAAGTTTGTAGAAGCCCTAGCAATTAGAAAGTTCAAGTCACATTTATGCGTTCAAAAGCAATTCGTCATCACATTAAACTTTCCTTGGTAAATTTTGTTTTGATACCATCTAGGCTAGATGTACTATTACCTCTGTTATTTCGTTTAGTCTTCATTGTTATTTTGACCTTGAATATGTCCTTTTCTCTATTTTCTGACCTATAACCTCTTTATTAATTTCATATATATTCCTATGACAAAGCCGTGTGTGATGGATCAGATTGTTCGAAATGTGTTGTGGGCGCAAATTACGTCTTCATATTGCTTCATCTGAAATAATGAATACCGCTATAATTTCTTGAAAGTTTTCTCATGAGCTATCTAGTGGCCCTTGCTCTACTTACTTGGATATTTGAACTAACTTTGTAGTTGGCTTCCACTCACCGCCTACAATGTTTATCATCGTTGTGACGATTGCATATCGTATGTTCACTTCATGCTTATTATGTTTCTGCGTCCCTGTTAGATCTTTGCTGTTATAGGTCACTGCTTCCATTTGTGGTTTTACGATACATTGAAAATATGTTGTTTTACAATGTGATTTATTTTGAGTTAACCGAGGCGATTCTTATCTTGGACTGTCTTCGTGAATTGTTGGTGTGTGATTCTTGTGGTGAACAGATATTTGATGCCACCTTGTTGTGAATATTCTACTTGATTCTCACCTACTTACTGGCTAAGGTTGCATTCCGGTTTACTAATTTTGCACTGCACTACTTGTTTTCGACTTGAAATATCCCTTCGCTATATAGCTGCTAACGACAGCGTTGAGGTAATTCTGAGTTCCGGATAAATTAATTGTTGTTTTTATATTTAATTTTTTTTTTATTTTTTATTTATAGCTAGATTCCACACTGTATTTTTGGTACAGGTATGGAATTTTCAGCATGGATATCGGTAGCCCAAATTTTGCAGGCCGACCATAGATATCAGGAGTGCGCCGACGTGGGCTCGAACCCCGGACCATGTGCATGGTCGGCGAGAGTCCTAACCACTGTGTCCAACCCAACCACGTATGCTTCACGATAAATAACCGACACCTAGCTGACTCTGCAGCCTTTTCTGACTGTGTGTCTCTCGATTAAGTTTCAAAGAATCATACAGTAAGATGCAATTAATGGTACCCTGAGATCACAGCACAATGATTCTACACTGTGCGTTACACGCAGATTTATGCAAAAGCACGCTTTGGGTATTTCAGCATACCTAGATATCACCCAGCGCCTCCTCATTCAGATGTATCTATTTGGTGTGGGTGATGGCGGGGATGACTGTTACAAACGTCTTAGTTACTGGAATGAGTGAATAACATGTAGCCACTTATTTGATTTAAAAATGGTTTGGAAACGTGTATTACGTGCTCTTGGTTCACTAAGTTCATTTTAACCATGATCACCTGCTCGAAAGGCATTGACTCAGTTGTAATCGAGATGAAGTCAGTGACGCATTTACGACTTCACACCATTGGTTGTCAATAAAACAGTAGGTCCGATGACATCTGTCACAAGGTTCATGTGAGTGAATAACACAAGGGACAATTTGTGCCACGTAAACGCTGTCTACTCACAAAAGTATCTGGTGAACTACCTATTAAAAAGACACAGTGTGACAACAGTCACCTGATGACCAATCTCACATTACCAGATTCCCGATGACGACAGCCCTCGCCTGATTACAAACAGCAGTTGAATGAAGTTTGAGTTCATGAGGAGAAGGCGGTGTAGCAGAAAAGTGATTTATTTATTTAATTTAATTAAAAAGGAAATATTTACGAAAGATTCTACAATCTACATGTATTCAGACTTTGACATTCATCCTGGTATTTTTCTTCAGTTTCCTGTAGGAGAATAAAATCAGTCAGCAATATTATTGTATGAAATATTTGTGGTGAAATAATACAGACGGACTAATAGTGAGAAGGAGGATGATTGTCGGTGAACTGTGTGCTTGTTCATAGAATCCGAGGATTCTGAATATTTTCAGTGAGTGATGATTGCCATATCCACGATTTTTCGGGGTATTCGAGTTGATACATTTCAATAATTCACTACGGGTCGCGTGAATTTCACTAGCTTGCTTGCACAGCCTCAGTGACAATTTTTGAAGAACGCATATGCATTCTCATACATTCACCATACCATCTATTTAGATCCGCTACGATATTATTCCTTGACGAATGTCCTCATTGTAACCTAAAACGACACTCATAACGCTTTCACCATTCGATTTAACAGGAGTATTCAAAGCTGTCATTTGAACCACACATTCATTAAACAGTATTTTAGCCGAAATATGGTCGAATATTCGACGGTGAAATTATTCTCGAACTGTTGCGTTGAATATCTGCATCTTATCTTTTGCTTTGCCCATTCATCATCCACAACACTGTCTCACATTTCGTGCGCTTCATATTAGAGTCACTACACCGATAACAGACCTTCGTATGCTAAGATGTGGAAATGTGATGCAAAATAAAACTCACCTGTCAACTGTTTCAACTGGGTTTCGTATAGCTTCTTGTTAACTAGAAATGATAAAACAGGTTGAGAAATATTTGAATTGACAAGTAAAAATGGTTTGTTGTCCATCACTGCGCTTGTCTGATAACTAACATTAGGCAGGCACTGACTATTTGCGAAACCAAATCACAACGTTTACACCGCTTTCGTATAGAAATTTACAATTGTGAAGTAAATTCATACAGAGAAAATGGACTCACAATATTCTATGGCAGTCCAGTGCTTGTGGTCGAATAGTGTTCTAGTTAGCTGCTTCATTTGACTAAAATCTGAAATGATTCATGAACGAATACCTTTCAGAGTTAACATCTCACAATCATACTACGACGTTCAAACTCGGAATTATGAGATATGAAAAGATGCGAAACAATCTGTTTCACGCACAGATTCAACAAGCTGTCTACTCTTCAAACTCATCCACTCGAATGATACAACTATGCTAGTACTCAATCAGTATCACGTTCAACAAATTGTCTTCTAGTGGGTGTCTCTGCTCACGATCACATTATCTTAACAATCTCATTTGTAGACGACTGATCACATCATGAACACTGAACTTGTTCATCCTGCTTCACACATTATTACCTGACTCACTGCAAATACTCATCGTAGACTATCGTACAATAAGAGGTGGATGTTCATGAATGCAAATCATGATGAAGATATTGTGACATGTGGAAATATATCGTCGTCGTTGTAGGAGTTTATGAAAATGTTATTCATTTCATGAAGAATATAAAAAAGGAACAAACGAATACCTTTCCGAGACGCTCGAGACACATTTTCGGTACACTTGTCTAAAGGAAACGCCATCTTCTTGTCTATTCATGGGTGAGTAGGAGTGAAACACAGTTTGATAAATAACTCAGATTTACAATAGAGGTGTGGAGAATGGCATTTCGAAAATTGTTACACCACACTGACGAAATAATTCAAACTGGTTGGCGTAATAAAATGCTACTTACTAGAATATTCTAAGGCTTCTTGTCGACAACACGCCACTGTATCATTGAATCTGGGGTCATTGTCTGTAAATAAAGGAGTGTCACACACATCAAGCTATTTCTCTTCTTCTCAATGTAATACACATTTATGCATGTTAAAGGCAAATACAATCAGATTTCAGACGATTAAAATATGTTTACTAGTTGGCGAATTGTCAGGGAATATCCGAAATGAGAAATATTTCAGTCGAACAACTGTCCTCGAGCACCTCCACATGTTCAGTGCATGACGTAATTTGCCATCTTTATTTGATGTCAGCAAATAAAAGGTAGTTGAAATGGTAAGGCGGGAATATAAGCCAGCTGAATGCTGTCAGTCAGATAATTGAGGTGAAATAATTATGGTGGAAGATAAGTACAGGAATTATTCAAGATATTTAGCTTACCTTTGGAGAGACGGTCTGCGATTTCTAGGAAAGATAGAAAGACGTTTATATATTCAGTATATATATATATATATATATATATATTCAGATGACCAAAAGTTTAAAATCCAAGTTAATAGAAAATTGTAAATACATATGTAAAGATGGTTACCGGGAGACGCAATTATATCACTCAAGAAGAAATTTTAATCATTTCACTTTATGCTATATATTGCACTGAAAATGTTGTCCAGACGGATGTCCGCGACTAAACCAACCAGCTCAGAGAACACTATTAATTGCATGTATTCAGCATCTCAGATCAATTTGTAGTCGACACAATTGCAAAAATCTATCACGCGGCAGTCGTATAAGCGTTGATGATTGAAATGAACAGTGAGAAAGCAAATCATCAACAGGGAGTTTATCACGGAATGGACTCCATGTATATTGAATGAACAGTCAGTGATGAGAAAAAAATTTCGTGGATGAAATTATATTTCGAATGAAAAGAATTTCGTGAAACGCACTGTTTAACGCGATCTCTCCCCATATGTATTCGTATGCAGTTCGCAGGCAGTTAGCATCTAAAATAGATCGTCCATAATTTCAATAAACTCAACTTGCTGCTTACACTTCTCTATTTCTCCTCGAAATGTTGGTTTTTGTTTGAGAATCTCGTCTAGGAAAAGAGAAAAGCGAACGCGTTGAATGTTTACAACATGTAGAGACGTGCACTTCATTCATGTTACTATGTGCTACATACTGACTGACATGATGGTTGTATTCATGTCGTCATAGTAATAAATTAGAAAGCACAATTCAAGGCATATTATGGTCAAGGTTTCAACATGTTTTACTCACCCTTAAGATTCTGTAATGCCTGTTCTGCACCATCTACGATCGGTTTGACTCCGCGTATAAGTTCTGTGGGGAGACGAGAATATTTTGCATGAATTGTCAAACAGGAAGTAAGAGCACTGAATGCAAGTGTATAACGCCCATTGGAAATATTTTCATCCAAAGACGTCTGAAGGAATTTCACTTTAGCTACTCAGCATACTTCGATAGTATGTCTGCACCACTGTTTCTGTGCCAATCAGTCTCCACCTTGTCTTCAGTGATAATATTTCACTTTCCGAATCTTCAAGGAAAGCAATGATCATAACGATCATTGTGAGACCTTCGTTATTCATAAACTATTGCCATGATAAATTCTCAAGTCACATGATAAAATCAAATCATATGAATTGAAAACGGGCTTACGATCAGTAGCGGAAATCTTAGCTTCGATGTCCTGTTTACTCCATGGTTCACCTTGAATTCAAAAGAAGAAATGCGAACAATAGTTGTTATACAGAGGAAGGGCCTTAGAATACTGAAGGTTATCAGAACAATTTCTATAGTTGAAATGCATCAAACTGCTCTCGGGCGCTTTATGTGTGCCATTGCAGTGCAGAAACACATCATCTCTAAATGTGTATTCAACCTGTTTAGATCTTACGATATTTTAGACTGACACATTATCCGAATAGGAGAACATGTCACTGTGCAACTGTAATCACACACAGTTTCTGAGTCAGAATTAAGATGAAAGACGTCTCGGTGATTATGCTTCTGGTCACCATCTACCGAGTAAGATGTGTTTGAGGTGAAAGCATACATGAAAGTGAGCATTTTGGAGTAAAAGCTCAACCAGAGAGAATGATCCGTGAGAGTAACTGCCAAAATATTCAGCAGTCATAATGAATAATGCAGATATTTCGCACCGAAATAAGCCACAAATATGCCATCTTTCGAAGAAATGCTTACCTGCGTTTACGGCTGCAAATGCCAACAGAGTGACGAAGGCTATCTGGTTGTATGCAAAGTAGACCATCTTCTTATGTGAACTGACTTTTCGTCTCCTTATTTATACCACAGCAAGCAGTCACAGTTAATGTTGTAATCGTGTGACTGGTTGATTACAATAATCACGATTTCATCGTTCATTTGTTGCAGACTGTCAGTGTTGTGATTGGTGAGTGAAACAACGTATCATAATGTCGGATGATTCATACAATGAATCAGTGGAATCTGAAAGGTGTAATGAAATCTATCAATCTGCAGAAATACTTCAATCCAAATAGTAAGCAGAATTCATGTCATGGAATCCACATGAAGAAAGCACACTCGCGATGCCTAGCGGGAGATCACATTCGGGGAGTGATCTGGTTTTGCGACGATTTGAATTAGCCTTACTAATCTGCAAATGAAGTTGGATATTTTATCCGTGACAGTTCAACACTAAACACGTTTTAACATATTCTCAGCAGGGGTGTTTCACGTTAATTCCTAGTAATAAACTATTCATGAAACTCCACAGTAACTAGCCATGAATGTGAGAATACATTAGCCGTTGGAGACAAGTCGGAATCGCATCAGATACTGTACTCAGTGCGCTAGTATCACGCGACAGATTGACATTTAATCGGATTGTCATTTCACTGCAGTTGAAATATGCAGTCATTGGGAATATGAGATACAGTGAGACTTAACACGTAAATGACCCGACTGTGTATTTATAATAATAATAATGATCATAATTTTCCCTCCACGTTCCCAGTGGAACATAGGGCTTCAAGCTAGTGGCTTGAAGTTTCTGTAGCAGTGTTTATTTTTACAGGATAGGGTTGCTAGCGTTATGCACAACCTTTTCTCTTTATCAACATTATTTCTGGCTTAGCGAGATAAAGGAGTGCGTCGGTGGCCGGAGATCGAACACCGGACCCTGTGCATGATCGACGAGCGACCTAACTGCTGCGCGACCGATGCGTGTATTTATAACTCACACATATATACGTTTAATGCGTGAGTCATATACAGTGATGTGAAGGAAACGTGAATTTTACAAAAATATATACCAGCAAATGGAGTGACCTGCATATAAAATATACTCTCAATGGTAATGATGAAATAAAGTGACTTTGTGGTGACAAGTAATCAAAAAATAGCACACGAATGGATGAATGTGGTGATTTTGAGCGCATTCTAACGTTTCTTTCCTCTCATGTATACGGTGCTTTATAAAATTTCTAGAATGACCATTTTCTCGTTGGACAGTTTTCAGATCGCAGCCCTAGTGAGGAGACTCCATCGCAACATAGTATATTTGTCTAAATGCTTCATCGTTAACAATAAATAGGATTTACAACATACTTTTCAATGGGAGTAACATTGGAAAACAGTGACAAGATATCTACAGATGACAGTTGTATTTGTTTAGTTCTGATCTTCAATATTGTCAACAGAATTGCACACATTTTTAACACCATTTGCGACTGCCTCTTGAATTAAAGCATCCACATAAATAATCGGCAGTTTGCAGCAAAAATTAAATAGTTAATTTGACGTTTACAAAGCCGAACGTAGAAGAACAATCTGCCCACAGAGATTCACTAATGTGTGAAGCATGCAATGATGAGTTACAGACTGAATGACTGGATTGAATACACAAAGTTAGGCATATTTTTCACCTCTAGCGACTTCAGCGACTTAATAATCTGGCACTCCACGGCCCTATTCGAATAATTATTTACTGAGAAGCGCTGTTCGACACTGAAAACAGTGAGCTAGTGAGGCGTCCATTTCTTCGACATGGTTAGATTTATTCAATGTCTGAGTGTCAGGTCTAGTGCTTTTATGGCTATCAACTGACTTGAATTACTCCATGGATTCTTGACATTCTTTCGCGACGATCTTGTCTATCTCCTGCTTGATATTTATTATTCTACTCATGAAAACGTCCGCTTCGTTTTTCATTGACTCACGTTTAACAGATGCATTGAAGTCTCATTTCTGCATGAAACGGCTTTCTTCAAACTCTCTCTGACTTCTCTCATCTAATCTTTCTAAATTTTTGAAACTGACAGGTCTGCAGAAGTTGGTTCCATTATGGGTAAATTTTGTTTTGATAAAGTTTCACTGTGTTATACAATAATGTTTACTGAGGACGGTAATCTGAACAAGTTAATCACCTTCATAATTTACTATTGAGACATTAAATTTAAATCCCTTCATGAAGATCCGACAAATAAAACGATAAATATCACAAATGTTTTATTGTTGAGTGGAATACACTCTGAATTCTCTCTCGCTGTTTTCATTCATTTTTTATTTAGGTCAGTGAAAGAAGGAGCATGAACACTCATTTCATCACAATAACAGAGATTCCAAATCACTGGCGGACAGCTGGATCTAACAGACATCAATCTGTGATCAAACTTGAAACAAATCATTCCCCACGACAAACGATCTCTTGAAAGTCGCCCTCTTCGTCATCACAAGAATTTGCCTCTAGAACATGGTCATCGAAATCCCGTTTTTAGTAATTGTAGTTTCAAATTAATTTTGGAAGGCACAAAATCATACAGACCCTGAATACACTTATAAAATGAGACTCCACTGCTGTAAATCTCTTTCGACATATCAGAATTTTCAAGCATTAGAATTCACATAGAAATATCAAGACAAATTTACACTCTGCGTTAATTATCTCAGAGTATAGTCGAAAATCATTTCTCAGAAAAACGGCAAATATTATAACTATAAATGTTCATATTTTTCTTGTGGGATACGATTGAAGAATAGAGTTTCAGCGACGCACCACAATACAACAATCCACGACACCTTCGAATCGTCTGATTTTAACTTGAAGAATGTTTCAAGGGTTCATTTTGAATTATTACAGATGAAGATCTCTGTCCAGAAAGAAGATCTACATCTATCTAAATGCTCAATATGGCGGTTTGCTCACGTAGAATCTCCTAAGTACACACTAAAGATGTTATTTTCACTGGAATTAATCGCAGTATCCATCTGGTATAGCTATATTCTCTAGCATATATAACACCAACACCATTGACCATTTTATGGCACAGCTAATTTTCCTCCGAAGGCAGCAGAGTCCATTGTAAATCTGAGGGAGTGTCTATATTCGGATTTGTGAAGGTATGAGTGATAGTCGTTTAGTGACAGCTGCTGATAAGAGTCTTCATGTATAATGTTAGTGATATCGCTTGCAGATATGGGAAATTCGAAAGATTCCTTGGAGTGATAACGGAAGCATAATGATGAGAGATTGAGAAAATCAGGAGATGAAAGTGTTGAATGTTAATTGACCAATGAAAATGAATAAATCCGTTAATACATATAATCCGAAGCAATCGGATTTCAGAGTGTCAACTTCTCAAACACGACAGTATACAACATCTCATGTGGCTGAAACCAACAGTTAAGGGACTCGCTAAATGAAGACACATTGTGATTTGACTGCTCCCTAATCTTTTTCAACCTAATTCGATATCGGCGAACACTAAATACTAGAGGAGGAATGCAATGTCATGGTGGAGGTAAGACATAATGCAGTGATTTCACTCTATTCAGCTTAACAGCCTCATCCACTGGTCTCGTGTCACTACATCACATCTGCAAAGAACATCAGAGCGAATCTCTGCGCACTAGGCATGTTCTTCGATAGACAACTCGAAGTGACGTCTTCGCGAGAGATGACGTCGAGTGACAAACATCTCATCGGACTTTCTCCTCCCGTACTACTATTTCATCAGCACTCAGTCCAGTTCGCTATGTGGAAATTTGAAAATGAGTTGCGGATTACAGTATGCGGAACACTTGTATCATTCCTTTGCTTCAATGGTGGGGTTACTGGAATACTCAACGGAAGGCACATCTACTCATTTCATCTTTGATGGACAATCACGTCATCCATGTATACGTTCGAAGAAAGGAGAACGAAATACTTGACTTTTCAACTTTCTGAGTTTCATCTATTCTTTAGAGATTTGTGAAAATGCTACTTCCAGATGATATGACATTATGGTAGGCGTATCACTGATGTGCACTGAAATAATCTGGCTTTGCATGCCCCAGCGCAGCCATAAACAATTGCAGATCCAGCTAGATGCATTTCATGTGTCATGGAGGCAAGCTAAGTGGTCACTAAAATGACGTTCTCTTTCCACACACGATTTACTTTTCATTATTGAATTCCAGTATTGAGACCAACAAATCTACTTCAATTAAGACACTGGAAGCTAATTCCACCATGAAGTGAATTGATTCGATACAGCTTCACTGCGGCTGTTCACTTTAGAAGATGTGCTGACGTTTTATGTTTAAATCATGCCAACATTTTCAACGCCTCTTCCGCTCACAGAAATGTTTTACTTGCATCGTAGAACAATATTGAATTTCATATTGTAGGTATTAATATGTACTGATAATAATGCTTGATTTATTGCGATAATATCCTGTTCGACTGATCTCCCCACTTTGAAATTTTTACAGTCAATCTACCATGAAGCGATGTCAGTTATCTCAGAAGCACAAATACACAAACATTTCAATATACATATGCATCAGTTGTAGTGGAAATTACCCTATAGAACGCATGTTGCACAAACAACCACCAAAAACAGCGCCAACAAAACTATAACATATCACGAAATAGAATCACTTTGTAAAAATAAATCCTATCTCAATTTGACTAGAACAAGTTCAACGAAATGCGCGCTATCGATAGACAGTTCCCGTATATGTATGTACTGTCAACGACTGAAATCTCAATTGCCGTCAGAAAAAGTAAACTAATCTGGAAGATGTTACACATAGGAATATTCAATGCCCTAAAATCCAAATTAAAATTGCCTTAGTGAAGAAAGAATATTGGACAAACAAGATGCATGTATTTAGACGTGTCAAGAACACGGTGTCACGAAAATCTGTTGAGTTCGTCTAGCCTAACCCACAGAATTAGTTTAACTGATTTCAGTCATATCCTTTTCGAGTGAACTCCAGTTCTCCTTCGGTTTCACGCAATGCTTCTATTAAATTTATTCCAATATCGAAATAATTTTGACTCATATGCACAAACGAAGCATGAAGCTATGTGAGTA